GGAGACAGGGTGCCGGTGCTGGCGCTGGTGCTGTGAGCTGGCTGTGCGCGTGGTGGAGCTGTGCACGTGGTGGCTGGGTGCTGGCTGCACACGTAGTGGAGAGGGTGCCGAGTGCTGGGTACCGGTGCTGGGTGCTGGGCTGCATGAACTTATGCACGCAACATCATACGGTGTTGTCGCTTGAGCGTTCTTTGTCTATTAGCGCTGTGGGGTATTTACACTCTTCAGGTTCTGTTTTGGCGGACAGCTGTGTCAAGGGCTGCACTGCTTGCGCGCATACTTTTGCACGTATACCGTATAATGTTCTAGGCGCAACGTCAGGCTCTCAGCCGACCATTGTTTCAGCATGCTACACACACAATAGTCGTGCTGGATACTGCTTGGCCTTGGGCGAGTGAAGCCTACAGGCTTTGCCGTTTGTGCGTGTACTTTTGCGCGCATAAACTTATACGCGCGAGATCATACGTTGTTTTTCCCCAAATAGGGATAGCTATGGTTTTTACTGCAAACAAGACTGAGCTGGCTGCGCGCGCTTTCAAAAGGGTGTCGGTGCTGGTCCTGGGCGCTGGTGCTGTGAGGCTGAGCGCGCGTTTAAGACGGGCGGCGGCGCTGGTCGGGCGCTGGCGCCGCTGCCGGTGTTGTCAGCTGGCAAAGCGCACCGGTGCTGGTGTCAGCTAGTTGTGTGCGCTGTGGAGGTGCCGTAAGCTGGCTGCGCAGGCTGCGCATTCTTGTTCCAGCCAGTCGCATCTCAACGGGTCGTGGGATTCTGCCTAGCTATCTGGGTCTATGCTGGTGTAATTTATGCCCGTGCCTGCATTGCGATTCAAAGCGATAAATCCATTGCTCGACGAATAGATCTGGGTGATGCCTGTGAAGTCCTGGTCGGTACAGCCGCCATTTCTGCCCCAGCAAAAGCCGGTGCCAGAATTGCTGTTCCAGGCCACAAAGTCTGTTGCTGAGCTGTAGACATGAGTGATGCCAGTAAAGTCAAGGCCGGAGCAGTTCTCTCCGTAATAGTTGGTACTCTCATCTCGTCCCCAACAAACGCCGCTCCCATCGGCCGTGTTCAAGGCCAGAAAAGCAAGCTCCGTGGCATAGACTTCTGTTGCAAAGTCAATGTTTGGACAATCTGCTCCACAAGACTTGTCTCCCCAGCGCACACCTGTACCACCTTTCAAGGCGACGTAGGCACAGGTGTTTGAGATCACCCGCGTGGCACCTCTCAGCTCAACCTCTGAACACTCTCCGGCTGCACCATCATACTTCTGACCACCCCAGCAAACACCAAGTGGAGCCTTCGTCGTCGTCGTGGTACCTGTCGTCGTCGTCGTCGTCGACGTCGTCGTGGCGCTCGTCGTGGTGGTCGGCGCCGTGGTCTCTTGCGCAGAACCTGTGACCGTGGTCTCTGCCATGGTCGGGGTGGGGGCGGCAGTCGTCAAGTTGGCGGCAGTTGTTGAGCCAGGATCCTCATCGATAATCTCACATCCTCGTAGAGTCAACGAACATGACCACAAGGCCAGGCATGAACATAGCCATGAGAGAACGCAAGACACTTTCATCTTGCCCATTCCCGTGGCGCGAGGGTGTCTACCATGCAAAGCAAAATGGCTCCATCATCGATGATGCTTCAAGATTGGACTCAGTATCATGGCTGATGGCTGCAAAAACTGTGCGAAACTGAACGATTATGCCTGGATCATGGGTCAATGGTCAGTATTCATGGCTGCTTTCACTCAGGATGAAACCGCAGAAACTGTTTAAAATCCCCAAATCCGCCGTCAAAGCCAAGCCCCGCGCCGTCAGAGCCCGGTGGGGGCCAGGCCAAGGACCTTGGACGACGTTAACTTCAACGACCGCAGGGCTCGCGCCGTACCTGGCACGCGCCGTACCGCGCCGTTGACGGCGGTCCCGCGCGTTGGTGGGCTCCAAACAACAGTGTGTGGATTCCTTCTGATTCTTCAGTTGTGAGTGGTCCAGAATTGGGGACCACTCTTTTTCTTAGTCAAGAAGACATCGCAGTGGTTGCAATCGAAACAATTAGCCTCAAAAGTACATGAGAAGCAAAGCCTGATTCTGAAGTTTGAACAAGATCTTCCTACCTTGCACTCAGCTTCATCCACTTACACGGTACACTCCCTCCAATCAGTGTGACGACCTCACATGTAAGATAATTAATGTAGACTCTTGATTCATACACCCAAGTGGGGTGGAAGAGGTTTTTCAATTCAAGTGGGGTGGGCTTATTTATCAAGAGTCTACTTTATATTCTTTACAAGTAGCTGCGTGGCTCAGACTTTACAGCTAGTGCAGTGTAGACGGCGAAGGTGAGCCTGTGTGTTTCCATGGATCCGTTTCTCACTGCGGTGCTCTCCCCCGATGATGAGGGGCAGGTTGGGTCTTTCGTTGTGGCCAGACGGTCTGATGGGGTTCTGCTGAACCCCTACACCAATCAGGTGTTCAGAGTGACACATCAGCATGAGGGTCTGCTGGTCTCGCTCCACCTGTATCGGATTGAGAAAGTTTCAAGGGCAGGAGTTGTTTCAGTTTCTGCTACCCCCAATTCGTGGACCGTGCCGCACCGTAAGCCTGACCTTTCGAGCACTCGGCGCTTCATTGAGATCTTCTCTGGCCTAGGAGGCACTACATTTGGTTTCGCTGCAGCCGGCTTTGAACCTTTGCTTGCTGTGGATCACAAATCCATTGCGATTGAGAGTCTTGGCAGAAATCAGCGTGTCCAGCCGCTGCTTGCTGATGTATGTGAACGTCATGACTGGTTGCGAATTCATCTTGCTGCTGGTGAAGTCTCCGCTGGATTGCTGGCTGGCTTTCCTTGTCAGCCTTTTGGCAACTTGGGTGCAAGATTGCGGTTTGATGATCCTCGATCAAAGTGCTTTTTTCGTTTGCTAGATCTTTCGCTGATTTTGCAATCCCAATGGCTAGTTTTGGAGTGTGTCAAAGGGGCAGGAGCTCATCCCCTTGTCATTGAGACTCTAAACAAATATTGCCAGCTCCGTGATTTTCAGTGGAAAGATGTGACGTTGCATCTGAATCGAGTGTGGCCAGCTCGACGGGAGAGGTGGTGGGCTATTCTTTTGCCCTCCTCTTTCTCTATGCCTGAGCTTTCTGATTTAGACATTCATCAACCGCCTTACTCCCTCCGTGACCTCTTCAAGTTCTTTCCTGCATGGACCTTGCAAGAAGAGCTGGATTTGAAGCTGCGGCCCATCGAAAGACAGGTTTTTGCTGATGAATCCTTTGGCAACACCAACCGGCACCTGGATCTGAATGGACTATGCCCTACTTTGCTCCACTCCATGGGCCATCAAATCTTTCACTGCAGTTGTGGATGCAGGGGACCGCTTTCCTACGAGCTTCTGCAAACTCAAGGACTTCATGGAGTGCTGATGCAGTCGCAATGGGAGAATGTAGATGATCGCCATCTTCACCCGCTTGAGGCTGCTTTGCTGCTTGGCCTACCGGGAACTTGGCAGTATGCTCATCCGGCGCGCACTGATTTACCTCTTCTGGGGCAAATTGCATCCCCAATTCAGGCTTTTTGGGTTGCTCAGCACCTTCTCCAAGCATGGGATGTTCAGACATGCTCGAAGAGTGAGGCTTTGAGTGCATTTCTTGGGCATGTGCTCCGCTCACACCACCAGAGATGGCCTGTGAGGTCAATGCATTGCACTCGCACCTTCCATGTTGAGAGAGAGGATGAGCCAGATGTGGCCTTTGTGACACGTCAACCTCTATGTGTTCACGAAGTTCAACTTGCTGAAGCGCGCTTGCTTGGCACTGAGCCTCCGTTGCTTTTTGCTGGTGAGCATATTCTTGATCCTCATGACCTTCTCAGCGATTCGAGATTGCAGGCAAGGGTTGCTTTTGGACCTGCTCAGCCAGGTGGTTGTCCCATTCTCTGGGTCTCCAAAGGGCTTGATGATCTTACTATGACTGTTCAGGGACAGGCTATCTTTGACCGCCATGCTGCACCTGATCACATATTTTGGGGTCCTCGCCATGTGACCTGCTTGATTGACTCCTATGTGGCTGGTGCCCTGGCAGAAATTCGTTCTCGATCGCAGACTTTGAATGCCAAGCACTTTGGGATCCTTTGGACCAACTATCATTGGCAGCTCTTTTCTTTGCAGCGTTCTGGCACTGGCCTTTGTGCTACTTGCTATGACGGATGTCCCTCGGCCAACACCTTTGACCTTGAGATCCTCTGCAATCGCTTCATGCTTGCTTGGGGTTGTGACTCGTATCAGTTGAAGGTTGAGTGTTGCATCTCGCAGACGTATGGTACTCATTGTGGTGCAATTGCGCTGGGGCATCTTCTTCTCGCGCTTGGTCATGACACGACCTGTGATGAAGAGCGTTATGTGGCTTGGCATAAGCTTCTCCTCTGTGGACAGAATCGAAGAGCTTGTGGACCGCATGATGCTGCCATGGTTGAATCGCTTTGCCAAATCCTTGCACAGAAAGGAGTCCCTGACAGTTCTGTTCGTGATCGTGCAACTTTGGCCATCAAGAAGCTTGGCGGTCCCGCCATTCAGAAGGCTCTGCTTGCGTCAGATCCATGGCGTGCCCTCAAGCAGATACAGCCCCTACAAGGCAGACCTTTTCAGTTTGTCCTCCATAATGAGTTGCAGGCACACGTTGCTGCTCGAGCATCTACCAAGCATGGTGCCTCTACAGGCAAAAAGGGACAGCTGCCTGGTCGCAAAGCGCTGCCTGAACTCCACCTTTGCCCAGAGCATTTAGAGCTTCTTCCAGATCTCTTTGTTGACAAAGATGGGGAATCTGTGGCAACCATTGGTGTCAAAGAGGTCGTCAGTGATGCACGAGGAATTGCCCTAGTCACTCCCGAAATGGCGAAGCAGCTGGATGACAATGATCAGAACCTTTCCATTGATGCCCTGGCTGTCCTGGTCGTTGGTGATCACTCCAATGCCTTTCAGCACCATGCAGCCAGTGTCATTCAGTACCCGGTCATTTATCGACCTACAAAGGAGCCAGCATTGCTTACAGGAACACTTCTTCAACTTGGAGATGTTGAAATCAAGATACTGAAAACAGCTGATGCCCCCGTTGTGCATGCTGTGGACACTGCAGTTGTTCGTGCGCAAGTCTTTAGAGATGCATATCCGCTAGAAGAGTGGCCTACCTTCGTGGCTGGCCCGGTCAAGGCTCTTGTGGGTGCGGTGGAGTCTCTCCAGTTCTGCCCTGGTAAAGACTGTGGCAAACAATGTGCCAAATTCCATCCTTCTGTGGAAGAAGAGCTTCGTACTGCGCTCCTTGATGTATGGCAATGGCAATGGCTCACCTCAGATGCAAAGCCATGCAAGATGGCTCAGGCTGACATCTTTTCGGTCTATCTACGTGTTCCAGCTTCAGGTCTTATGGATCTTCTTTCGCATAGTGGCTGGAATGGAGTCTTCATTGAACCCCGTCCGCTGCCAACAGCTCCTTCTTCTCAGCGTTTTGCTGTGGTGTGGCTTCCTAGAACTGCTAGTGTTGATGATGCCTTCAAATGGAAGCGCCAACTCGATCAGGTCGTTGGCCTGGCACGTATGCGACAGAAGCTTGGTGTGAGAGTTCGAGCCAAAGATGAAGAAGCTACCATCAAGGTCATCTTTCCTGACCCTTGTGTGAGGCCGTGTGTTGTCAAGCACACGTATGAAGCAGGTCCTTTGCCTTTTGGTCTTCATCGTGACAAGATTGCGGACCTTCTCAAGGCTTGGAATTGGAAAGCTCGCCCTCTGCGACCATTGCGCTCAACTTCTCTGGGGCAGTTTTGGGAGATTGGTGCTGAAGAGCCCCCCAAGTCCGGTATCATGCCAACTGATCAAGGCATGATCACTGTCTCACATCGTCGTGAAGCACAGAGTTCAGTAAAAGCCAAGCCCTATGTGCAGGCAGCCACCAAGACTTTGCAGAAGATGCACTCTACTGCTCCTTCTTCATCTTCTTCTTCGACCACTGAGCCGCATGACTCTTGGACCACTGGGGATGATCCGTGGAAGGCTGCAGCATGGAGTCGCTATCAGCCCATCACGGTTGCCAAGGATCAGGTTGTCTTCACTGAGAATCGTGGCAAGGCCTCCCAGGAAGCTCGCACCAAATTGTCTACCTTGACATCCAAGGTCTCTGAGCTTGAGCAAAAGCTTGAGAATAGTGGTGAAGGGGATGCTACCATGTCGAATGAAGTTGCAGAGGGCATCACTTCTGAGATTGCTGAGATGCGTGCACAGCATCGTAAATATGATCAATGGTTCAATCAAGCCAGTGACCGCATTGGTGCCTTGGAGACACATCTTCATCAACAGGGCTCGCAAATTGCTGAACTTGGTGATGCCATGAAGACGCAGGTGCAGGCCTCTACTTCGTTGCAAACTCAGATGCAGACCTTGCATAGTTCTGTCAAGAATGACCTCCAGGCCGCTATGGATGCACAAACTGCTCGCCTGGAATCCTTGTTTGCCGAAAAGAGGCAGAAAACTGGTCAGGCTTCTTGACTATCTCGGTCGGGAGGTTTTGCTCAGCGACATACCTCTCCTAGACCTTTCACATTTCGCTGGTTCTTTGTGGTTTTGAGCCTTCTCTATGGTGTTGGTGATTGTCGCCGTGTGGGTGAGGCGCGGCATCCTGGCCCGGACAGTGAGGAGGCCTTTGAATTCCTTATTGGCACTGCTAATGTGGCAGGACTTTTGCATCGAGCTGACCTCGTGGTTCAGCAGCCAGCAGGACTTTGGGCTTACACAGAAACTCAACTGTCTCTTGCTGGTCAAAGGCAATTTCGTTCAGCGCTCCGGTATGAATCTCAGCATGCTCATCGTGATGCATTCTTTGTTCCTGGAGCTCCTGTTCCAACTCGTTCGGCTACTTCAGATGCGGGCACTTGGTCTGGAGTTGCTGTTGTCTCTTCTGCACCAACCAAGGAAATTCGTATTGCTTGGCCTGGTGCTGAATATGTTTCTGGTCGGGCGGTTATCACTTCTACCTGGCTGCAATCCTTGCCTATTGTGGGTGGCACTGTGTATGGCCTTGCGCAATCGCCCACGCATCGGCGCCCAATTCGTTCTACATCAGCCATCCTAGATCAGGTTGCGGAGCACATTGTGGAGAGATTGGTTGTGGTGACTGGAATGCTGATCTCAGTGATTTTGCCGTCACTGACTATCTCCTAGCCCATGGATGGAAGGAGCTTCAAGTACATGCGTGGGAGACCCAGTGTCAGCCTATTCGGCCTACATGCAAGTCTGTCACGGTGCGTGACTTTCTGTGGCTCTCACCGGAGCTATGGCAAATGCTGAAGTCAGTCCATTTTGAGGATCGTTATTATCCTGATCGTGCTTGCCTTGGTGGTCTGTTCACTATCCCTCGAGCACCTTCGCCTACCAAAGTTTGGCGCTTTCCTGCGCCTCTTCCTTGGTCACATGTTCGTGTCTCTGATTGGCAGGAGACTGTGCAAGCTCATCATCAACCTTTCACCTGGAAGGCTGACACTACTGCCTCATTCCGATCCTGGTCTGCTGGTGTGGAAAACAGTCTACGGCAGCCTGTGCTCCATGGTCTTGCGCGTATCCCTGCACGTTGCAAAGGAAGAGCTCAACAACTTTGTCCAGAAATGCGTCCAACGCGCCATTCAGTGGTGAAGCGAGCGCGTCCTGGGGAGGAGGAGGTTCTTACAGATTTGATGCCTGTGGTAGTTCGTCAGTGGTATCGACAGCTGCGGAGGCTTCAGGCTCTTCTCCACACCCTTCGCAATGGATATTGTACCCCTGGTTCTTGGACCACTCAAGCTCAAACTTGGCGAGCTATCCGAGGTGCTCCCGGCTTCAAGCCCAACTTTGTTGCCTGGTGGCCCACACGTGCCATACATCTTCCTCATGGGCTCTCTGACATTCCACAAGACGTTCCCACTCTCCAACAGATGGAGCTTCTTTGGCATGAGTATCGACTCAATTATCGCAACTTTGAGGATTGGCATCATCGACAAAGACTTAAGCTGCTGCAGTTGCGCAATGCTTCTTTGCAAACCTCGCATTTCCGGCAGTTGAGGCCACCAGCTGCTGATCCTTTGGTGACACTTACTACCATGCAAACAAGTGTGATCGTCGATGTCTGTGTCTCCACTGGATATGTCGCTCTGCCTGTATTTCCTTGGGACAAATTTGCCACTTTTCGCTCCTCAGGTTTCGCGTTGAAGCCTTTGGATCATTTTGAGGAACAGCACAATGGCAAGATGGTGCTCTGGATTCTTTTTGATACAGATCTGTTGCTGGTGCCAGGCATGCTCATAGACGTCTCGGTGACCACTGCCTCATTGCCAGACATTCATGCGTCTTTGATTGATCTATGGAAGTCTCGCTGGCAGCGACTTGCGGATGTCCCTGATCCAACTTGGTCCCGGGTCATTGGTTTTGCCCATTCGCATTTGCCTCGTATGCCTGCCAAACCTCATCCGCTTTCTGTTGATCTTCTGCAGACTACATTGGCTACTGGCAAAGGTCTTCGCACGAGAGGACCAGATGGGTGGGATCGTCAGGATCTTCGAGCTCTCTCTCCTTGTCACTGGGCTGATATCGTGCAGTTGCTAACAATGATTGAAGGAGGTGCTGAATGGCCTCAGCAATTGACCTTTGGCATTGTCACCTCGTTGGCCAAGAAGACAGAGCCTATTGGACCAGTGGACTACAGGCCCATCACACTTTTTTCATTGTGGTACCGACTAGATTTCTCTCTGTTGGCACCTGATGGGGCCTTTGGATATCTCTGCCATCGAGGATGTCAGGATCTGACATATATCTTGCAGGCCACTCTGGAATCACAGCAGCTGACTGAGGATCATCATGTTGGGGTTCTCCTGGACATTAAACAGCGCTTCAATTGCATCCCTCGCATGCCGGTGAGGTTTTTGGCCAGGCTCTTTGGAGTGGCGACTCCCACAGTCACAGCCTGGAGCTCTTTTCTAGCATCGATGCGCAGATCATTTCGGGTTCGTGAAGCTCTGTCTGATCCTATTGGCAGTGATACTGGACTACCTGAAGGAGACAGCATGAGCTGCGTTGGAATGGTTTTGCTCAATTTTGTGTACCATGCATACATGAAATGTTTTGCCCCCACGATACGGGAGCTTTCATATGTCGACAACCTTCAGCTCATTTCACCTACGGTTGGTTCGCTTCTGCAGGGACGAATTGTTGCTGAAACGTGGGCGGACATGTTGCAGCTACACATTGATTCGGTCAAGAGCACCTATTGGGGTACTTCAGCTTCCATGCGTGCCTTGCTTCGTGCCAACGGATGTGCCGCTGTTGAATCCACAAAAGATCTGGGGGTACAGATGCAATATGGACCACGACATCGCAATGATCAACTTCAATTGCGAATTGGTTCCTCCTTGGTTCATTGGAAGCATCTTGCTGGCATGCGTCTACCACGAGCACTGAAGGCTCTAGCCATTCGTACCGCTTTGTTGCCTCGCACACTTCATGGCGTTGAGCAGACTTTTGTTGGCCTCCACTGGTACAAACAGCTGCGAACTCAGGCGCTTCGAAGCTTAGGAGTTGCTCGGGCTGGTGCAAATCCTGGTGTCAGGCTATCCCTTGTCGAGGATCCTCTTACTGACCCCATGTACTATGACATTCGACGCAGCGTGTTGTCATTTTGGAGGTACTTGGGCTCCTCGGCGGAGTTTCGTCTGGCGTGGACTACGCATGTTACACATTTTCATGGTAAGTACACCCATGGGCCATTTGGCAAATTCCTGCGAATATGTGAAACCCTGCAATGGTCAGTCACATCTGACTTTGAGCTTCGAGTTGCTAGTGGGCAGCGCTATGACTTGTTGTGGCTTCCTCGGCCTCACTTGCACACTTTGCTCTTGGAAGATTGGAGACAACATGTTGCTGCTGGGGTTTTTCATCGACATGATTTTGCTGGTATTTCTGGCTTGGACTATTGGCCTAGCTTTCAGGTTCTGCCACAGCTGACTGTGTCGCAAACAGAGCTCTTGGCCACTATCAGAGATGGAACATTCTTTTTGCACAGCTTCAAGGCTCGGTTCGATCCGGGTTTCTCGGAGGTCTGTCCTTTTTGTTCCTCTGCTTTGGGCTCCATGGAGCATCGAGCATGTGAATGTGAATATTTTCAACCGGTTCGAGATCGTCACTATGACTGTTGGACCAGCTGGCATGATGTTCCCATCGCTCTTTCCCACCATGGTTGGTGTCCTGCAAATGAATGGGTGCCACGCTTTCATGCTGAACTTGAACGTCTTGAGAACTTGGATATGCAATGGCATTGTGAACCTTCGGATTCTGGTGTTCAGCACCTATTTACCGATGGCTCTTGTCAACTGCCAGGACATCCAATTGGTCAGCTTTCGTCATGGGCTTTTGAGCTTGCCAACGTCACTAAGGTCGTGGCCTGTGGGCTCCTGCCTGGCAGATGGCAGGGCATAGCACGGGCAGAGCTTTTTGCGGTGTTGCAATCTTTGCTATGGGCTGCACACTATCTTGTTCCAGTTCATCTTTATTGCGATTCTGCCTTTGTGGTCAGGCGACTTCGTTTGCTTCTGGCGGGTCAGCAGCCTTGCTTGGACTGGGCGCACGTGGATCTTTGGGAGAGGGTTGCGCAATGCCTGTCTCAAGTGCCTTGGATTGGAGTGACTAAGGTGGCATCTCATCGATGCATTGAGCATGCAGCCACTCCTTTTGATGCTTGGTGCATCCACCATAACTCTGTGGCTGATGTTGCTGCTGGAATGGCTCGCTTGACCTGTGCGCCAGCGGCCTTGCGTCGCTGCTACGATGCCATGATGAAGGTTCATGAGTCGCACTGCATGCTTAGCAGGATGTTTCAGCTCTTTCTTCTGGACCTTGCAGAACATGGTCTTGCTACGTCTGAGAGTGCACAACTTGAGTCTTGTACAGAACACTTTTTGTATGGCGATTCATTTGTAAATCGCCATGACTTTGCAGAGGATCAGCCAATTGATGTTAGGACCCGGCTGAGTGCGAATTTGTTTTTGTGCAGATTTGGCCTTCACATAGCTGAAGCTCTTCACGCTTGGCTAGTGACCCTTAGTTTGCAGGCGGATTTTCTCACGCCTGTCTCCTTCGTTGAGCTTTTTCTTGGATTTTCGGTTTGTACTAAGTGTGTTTTGCCGGTTCGGGTTGATGGTGCTTCTCAACGATGGTTGGACGTAGCAACTCTGGAGGCGGGAGATCTTTTTGGTCGAACTCTTGCGATTCAGGTTTCGACCTTCAGGTGTTTGTTTGATGCTGTTTTGGGTGCGGTTGGCTGTTCCTTCGAGAAACGACAGATCTCTCGGCCGACTAGCGGGATCGTGATGGCATTGCCGGGATGTATAGTGCCATGGCCGGCTGAGGTGGCAGACAAGGCACACTTGTCTTTGCTGGCTTTTTGTAAGCGATCCCCCATTCGTTTTTCACGTGACCTCGCGCGCTCATGGCCTTGATGTGGCATGAGGAGGTTCTTTCTCGCTGTGCAACATCGCTATGCTGTGTTCACAGTGGCGGCGACTGCAGACTCGTCCGCAAGAGCGTGATATATTCTTTACAAGTCCTCTCAGTTGATCCCATCACCCAAACATCTTCCGTTCCAAGATCCACCGCCAGTGAGCTGCGCCTGCTTCCCCGAAGCCGGCGCCTGCTGAGTCACAGGTCCCGCACGACCGGTCTGACGAGCCGAGGGGCCGAGGCGGGGGGAACTGCCCGACGACCGGTGAAGAGGTCCCCAAAACTCCTTCAACCGGTTTGGTCAAGGAAGGAAGGATGACCGGAATAGGCCGCCATGGCCTCTCTTCAGATCAAACAAGGGAAAGATATCTGTGGTGAAAGCCAGACGAGACATGGTCGCATCGTTGTGTTGAGTCTCGTTTTGTTTGGTCTGTGCAGACCTCAAAGTCTTCCGGATACACTTCATGAGAATGCATCTCATGGTTGAAATATCGGAAATAGGTCGTATGAATTTCCATTGAACCTTCAATCCAGTAAGCTCGTCCCCCTCCACCTGTCGGCGCCTGAGCTGGTGGATCTTCTTGACGCAATGGCTCCACGCTGCAGGTGTTCCAGGTGTTCACAGCATTCACGGGTCTTTGGATGGCCGGGGGCCATGCAACTCCTGCAGAGGTGCTTCGAACCCGGATGCGTCGCGAGAAGCAGCAGTTGGAGCCTATCAATATCCCGGATGCGGATGGTCAGGGGCCATGCAACTCCTGCGGATGCGGATGCCTGTCAAACACAAGCCCAATTTGTGGACGGTTCCTGGATGGTTGTAGATCATTTCAGACTTTGTCGGGTGAATTTTTTGTGTTTGTTTCGTTTCAAAATCCTGCACCGAAAGCGGTGAGGACGGCGAGTGTGCCCGGCGAGCACCGCCCTTGGAGTGTAGGACATCCTGGATCGACTGCACGGCTAGCGGCCGGCAGAACTGATCAGCACCGTTAACGTCAAGGCCCAATGAACGTCGATGGTCGAAACGACTCTTTTTGACATATAATCCCCAACCAGTTACGACCACGGCCAGGCACGGCCCTGCATGTTTTGCCGCGCCCTTCTAGTGCCTCTAGCGCTGACACGTCAAGATTCAGGCGGACCCTTGAGTCTGCCCACATCCTGCCTGACATGGATCCTTTCCCGCTGATTCAAATTATGGTTCAAACATACACCTGCCTGCATGGAGGGCCGAAACCTGAGTCACGACTTCAGCACGCCTCCAAGGCCTTCAACTGCCCTTGGAGCGAAGCTCTTGTGCCTTGGAGTGTGGTGAGAGCCATACTCAGACTACCAAGCCAGCTCAACGCCAAAAACCAAGTTCTATGTTCATGTCCATGTTTCCTCCCAAAAAGGATCAAGAGGGAACCGATGCAACAATGAAACATGTGACTGTGAAAAGATTGATGAGCTGATGTTTGGAGCCCCCAAGCTGGCCTCCTCCATGGAGCCTTTCGCCTCCAAGAGGTTCGCGAGACGCGAGATCGAGTCCAGGGTCTGCTGATGTCTGACTCCCAGCTGGGCCACTTGCCCCTCCATCGCCCGGCGGAAGTGCGACTCGGCGTCCTCCAGCCGCCCTTGCGCTACGCGGAGACGGGCCAAGTGGTAGACCGAGCGGAGTGTGCCGGGATGTTGGCTGCCCAGCTGGGCTTCAAGACCTTCCACCGCTCGGCGCAAGAGCACCTCCGACTCGTCCACCTTCCCTCCATCCAGCAAGAGCGCCCCCAAGTTGTTCACAGAGATGAGGGTATCAGGATGCCGGGCTCCAAGTTGAGCCTCCATCCCTTCCAGCACTTTGCGATAAAGTGGTTCAGCCTCCTGGTACTTGCCCCGATCCTCCAGCAGATTCGCTAAATTGTTGAGCGACGTGAGGGTCACAGGGTGCCTGGCTCCAAATTGAGCCTCATATCCTTCTAGCGCTCTGCAATACAGTGCTTCAGCCTCCTCATACTTGCCTTGCTGCCATAGGACGACCGCGAGGTTGTTCAGCGCCGTCAGGGTGTTCCGGTGCTTCCCTCCCAGCTTCGCCTCTTCGGCCTCCAAGACTCGGCGACGCAGCGCCTCGGCCTCCGCGAGGTCGCCACGGTGTCGGAGCACCTCCGCCAGCCTCGGCCCAAAAGCCGTTTTTGTTATAGGGTGAAGTGGAAATTAGACTTACCTCTACTGCTGTTAGCCACGGCAAAATAGAAGAAGAGAGAGGCAAAGTTTCGCAAAGGCTCGATATGATAGAGCCACTGATATCCACTGTTACTGGTCATGCGAGTGACTTGGATTCGATGCTCTCCTACAAAGGTCCAATCTTTTTCCCGTTCGGTTTGGGCACCAATGCAAGACTGCTGAGCCAGGTGTAATTTGTCACCAGCGTGGTGTCCCTGTGAGCTGTGGGAGTTTATAGGGGTTCCTGCCTGCATTCAGTTTCCTCTCCCGTCCTCTACCTGGACTCACTCACCTGGTGGGGCCCTTTTTTTGCTGCATTTCTATTTTCTCCTATCTGGACTCACACACCTGGTCAGCCAGCTCACCTCAGAGTGGGGGACCTTGTTTGTTGCATTTGCAAATGTCGTTCCGTCTCCCCTCTCCTGTTCTCTACCAAAACTCGACAATCTAAATACTCTCCTGAGCACTTCGTGATGCTAATGATGCATTTTCCAGCGTCATTTGCATCACTCGCATCACCAAGCCTGTGGCCAATTTCCTTTTTCCTTAAGAGAGAACCCCAACAGTAATATACCAGCATAGACCCCAAACAGTTTCAAAACGATTCGTTTGGACCAATGTTAGTCAAAAACGATTTCTTGGTACGCCCTACCTTCCCCCAAGATCAAACTGCTTCATCAATGATTTTTCGGCATCGACATCGCTATTTGTTCGGCCACACTCCTCTCCAGCTGTTGACCCTATTCATGAAAAATTGACAATGTCCAATGTGTCTCACGGGCACACTATCGGGCGACCCATCTATCAACAGTATGAGACGGGCCCCTACGCGAACCCGCTTCCTTCGTGGGCGTCCGATTGGACCTCACTCAGCATTCGAAACACGCGGCCACAGAGTTCAGGGGTGCGGCCAGTCAGTGTGGCCAGGGCTGGTCAGCGCGGCCAGCGGACAACAGCAGAACAAGAGAAGGACAAGAGGAGGACAAGAGAAGACAAGAGGAGGACAAGACCCGGCCACAGACCCGGCCACAGAGCTCAGCCACAGAGTTCAGGGGCGGGGCCAGTGAGTGTGGCCAGCTAATTCTTTTTCTAAGATAGAACCCCAGCAGTAAACTGTTTGGGGCAAAAAAAAAAAGTTTGTGTCATAGCAGGCCCACGTCTCTGGAAAAATGTGCTTGCAGAATGAATGTGAAAAATCCGTCGGCCTGAAGTTCGTGTATGGCGAGACGGGAGACGAGACGGAGACCGAGGCCAAAGACGAAACCACAGGGACAGGGCAAAAGCCCTGTAGGGAAAGGACAAAAGGACGGGGAAAAAGGACCACAGTGTGCAACAAACAACTATATCTGAAACTTCCTTGTTCCTTTTCTTGTCTTGCTTTGTTTTCTTGAAGTTTAAAGAAAAAGGGACAAATTTTGACAAGATGTAAATTCTAAATGTGGTGCTTCTTTAATTGGCAAAAGGATGTTCAAAGACCGTCCAGAGAGACATGCACCCACAACTCCCATGAGACACCTAAGTCTTAAGCACAGACAGAGATACGCTCAAGTAGCCTCGACTGTGCTCGATTTGCTGATGGGATGAAAGTTGTGCACACTGTCATTTTGCACAATGGTTTTCTGGATCATAAGTCGCTGTATAGTCGGTAGTACAACTGGCTTCTTACAATGTGTCATGTCTACTTTCGATATATGCATGTATGAGTATGAGTGTATCATGCGAAAAGGCCTGAGCTGCACACCGGCTCAATGCCTGGAGGGTATATTCATCCGTAGTGCCACGTCTGGTGACTGCGGCTTCAGCATGGCAGCGAAGCCTCGACACACAGCTTCCATCAGCAGCTCGGGATGCACAAATTCACTGAAGGTAGCGCTAAGTACTAGATCGGCCTTCTATCGCTGCCTGTCCAAAATATGGTGTCCAAAGTGGCAGTGTTGACTAATGATTGTTTCTAACAGGGTTTCTTCACGAATGGAACTGCTTGGCATCCAAGACTTGCCATGTATCGAGATATTGCGAGATCTGCGATTTATCCCACGACTCAAACAGCCGAGGGAGTGGGACTTGTTCGGTGGATATGCCACTCAAGAAGAAGCTGTCAGCAGGTTATCTTTGTTCCAAGACTGTTCTGACGAGAATTGACAGTGATGCTACGTAGACTACTCGACTAGACTACAAAGGCCTTTCCATCCCTGCTGTTCTCCCAAGTTCAGCAACCAAGCTTGTGACATAGGTTCCGTGCAACACAAGATGTGAAGAGGGAACAGGGTTGTGTCAGAAGTGGGGTAATATCAAACACAGGTTAGGCATATTGAGGATGAGGAAAGTGAGCTACGAAAGGCCAAGAACCACTCACCACATGAGTACACACACAAAGGCATGTCCCCCATACATGCCAACGAAAATGCAAACAGAATAGAACCTCAAAATGGAACGCGCGGGCGTTGCATTAGAGTCACACCTTTGCAGCCCAGAAGGCCAAATGTGTGGCTTCAGAATGAAGCCCAAGTTGCGTTTGGAGTCCAATGAACGTCCTTGCATTGCTCCGTTGAGTTGCAGCTGATTGTGCCTTTGCCTCTCCTTCTACAACAACTTGTTTGAGTTCCGCTGAGGGCTTTAGTTCAGGATGCGCGTGCGAAACAAGCAGTGCGACGTGTCGTGTTGAGAGAGTGCTGCAAACGTTGTCAAACCAGGAACGTGTCCTGATAGTTTTGGGGTCCTAATAGCCAACAAGCAACGTCTCCACCAGCACTGCTCTGGCATTACCAATATCGCCCTCCCCTTGCGCTCGCACAACGATACATTCCCGCGGTGGCTTTCCGGCTTCATTCAGGAGCTTTCCAGCGAGGTTCCTTGGCCAAGGCATGAATGAGTCAGCCAAATGTTCGAAGTTTGAAGTAAACTGAACTGCAATAAACTTGGTCTCCGGCACACCAGCAGGCTTCCCCTGTCCAGAATCCACCAGTAACAGAACAAATTGGCCAAATCAGGGAGATCCGCAAAGCCTTTCGACCAACCCAGCCTGCTCCACCATTTCCGGTGTAGGTCGTTCGGAGACGTCGTAGGCTACAGATGCATTGACAAGGATTGGAATGCAATACTCCACCCTCGAACGGTAGTCCTTCAGGAAGACATTTGAAAGCATGTGTCCCTAACGAGCTATGCCATGGCATTTTGGAACATTGCTATTTGGAAAAAGTCACGAGACCTACAGCAGTAGCGGCTCAAGGAGCTCTCCTGGATTGCCGCATCACGACCTTTCAGATCGATATCCTTGGATTTGCATAACGAACCGGGAAACTTGAAAGAATATTCCCGAGAGAGGGATTCGTCCATTGGCAAAATCAAAATCACCCTAAGCAAATCCAGGTATCTCGCTTGAGCATATTGCGATAGTTGTTGTCCAGCAGCGTCTCCACGCTTGGCCATTCATCAGGTGCCTTCCGTACACTGTATACGCCTGCCAAGAGTTCGCTCGAATGTCTGGCATGGCAAATGGTTGCTGGAACTAAGTCAGGATAAACCGAGCAAAAGAAAGTCGCTGGGTTGGGGCCATCTCAGAGTCCCCACAAAAACCCACCTCACGACCTCGGTGTGCGCACGCCTTCCGAGTGAACTCACCCTGGCACCCTCCAATCTGGGGTTCTAAAATTGACACGTTCAACCCACTGAGGCTCACAATTCGGCTTACCACGGAGCCCGCCGCCCGCCTTTTCCCCACCACGCATTGGCCTTTTCACCACTTGTGATGAGAGAGGCCTGTAAATGCCCAGAGTGTAACTGGCTAGATGGTAGGCATCGAGTTCGAGGCATTGTCACTCAACAATTCTGAGGGCAGCGCGAACACTTCCACGGCAGCTTTGCTTTCATGCGTGATGTTCCGAAACCCGAGCTGTGTTGTATAGTGAAAGTAGCATTCCACATCACCATCTCCCCCAGCTTGGGTCAGATCAAGAGCATCTGCCCATACCTGCACGAAGCTTTGGCAAGTGCTAGACATGCTCCACGGTGAAATCTCGACATGGTGGAAACATGGATGGAAAGCTCGACAGCAGCGACAGCAGCGACAGCAGCGACAGCGCCTTGATCTTGAGGCCTTTGTGGACCCAACACCAATCAGCTACATCAAAGTCATATTCTTGGTGATCAAAAGCCCCACCATTCTTGTAGTCCTTCTGGAAGTAATTTCGGAGCTGGGCCTGGCACAAGGAATGTGTGCTTGGTGCGCGAAAAGAACTGATAACAACTGATCTATCCAGCTGGTATCCACTTACTAGACTAGAAGTTGGTCAAACCACAGGGAGCAGTGCAGCAGAGTTGATTCTGGTTGAAGGCTCCCCATTCACCTCTGCAAAGAGGGAGCATCCGTTTGCCAACATCAAAGCATGTGAAACCATAAGTAAAAAGCATATGAGCAACAAATAAGTGCCCCACACATAAGTCCATTTGGGAGGTGCTCTTCAAAAACCGAGGTGCCTCTACCATCTCTTCCCTCAAGATGCTCCCAGCTTGCGGCGCCTCTCGAAACAAGTGGGCACGACTTCTTCGGGATTGATGTGGAACAGACGAAAACAACGTCGAGCACCGAACACACTGGCGCTCAATTGGGGCAGGCGCTCAAGCGGCTCCAGTGGCTCGCGCCTCCGACATCGCTGAAAGTACCCACCGGACATCGCCCTGAACCGGCACCCTGCTGTCGGCTTCCTGAACCGGCTGGTTTCGATGCTTCTCAACATAGAAACCGAGTGACATGAGCGATCCCCGCATATCCTAGTTGGAGGCTACTTTTCAATTCCACCTTTGAAGTCTGTATCATGTGATGAGCTTAAACCCGTCGTCCCGACGATTTCTGAAGAGTTTCGGGTCAGGTGGCCTAATGGTGAGCTATGATCCATGCAACTTCCCAGGGATCAGAAATGCTCTGAGACGGTGGGCGTTGGCCTTCGTGGTGTGGGGAAGAATTGACCATTGTTTGATCCATGAAGAGAACTCATTGAATAGCAAGAAACTTCAGGAGAGTTCCCTCAAGTCCATCACCAAGTAAGGCCAAGAAAGCAGCATGTTTACCCATCATCTCTCATGAACTACAGTAGAATGACCCTGTGTGACTATACAGCTGTCTTATACAGTATCGAATTGGAATGCCAGGACTTCGTCCCAAACTTGCAATCACCCTGATCCAATCAAACCTCTAGCGCTCATCCTCTTATTTTGGCCTCCTTTAGTCTTACTTCCACTTTTAGTAACAAGGAACACCAGGGGTGAAAATGAACGAAATAAGTTCACACTCGGAAAGAACGACCGACTCATTGACCATCCCACCGCCTTGGCGACATACTTCTGCCTTGACCCTCCGCACCCCATGGCGAGCCTGGATCGGTGGTCAGGTGGTGGCAAGGCACCGGTAAATCGGGGCAAAATCATGGGATCTGAGGAATCACCTGATTTGTAAACACAACGATGGCCCATCGATAAAAACTACATGAAAAGGAAACACTGAAATTCAGAATTCGGAGCTCCAACATGTTCCAACTAATTTGGACCTGTGAATGTCTGACTGGCTGTGTGCGATGTATTGGCTCCGACTAGGGATTACATTGATGATTACATGATGTCAAATCTGCAAAAGCTGTGCCGGCATCCCTGTGCTTCTCCTTGGAACCACAACTTCACCGTTCTACTTCCAATGGGTGTACCGCGCAGTCTGCACGCAAGTCTCCTGCTTTTGTCGATCCCCTCAGTCCTTTTTCGACCCCATCACCGTCTCCCCGCCTCAGAAAGGTCTCGCTACGCTCAGCACTGGTACCACCAAATCTTCCCCAGCGCTTTTGGTCGGATGGATCGACTCAAAAGGTGAGACTACGACTGAGTCGAGGGAGGTGTTTTTCCACGTTGAGTCGGTGGGTAAGGCAAACAGGTTGTGCTTCAATGAAGTGCAAAAACCTGCTTTCTACAAGCTCGCCTTTCCATATGATGGGCTCAACAGCCTTCCCCCAAAGAGCTTTGACTGCCCCCCTTTGGGACCGAGGCTTCTTCATCCTGCCCTAGTGACTCTAATGTTTCAATGTTGAAAACTGCTCATAAATTCTACACTTGACGAGTGCCGGATGAAAGATTGCCATTGGTGCCACCGTTTTGCGCGGACCAAGCTATCTGTTCGCTTCCCTCTTGAAATGGAAGGCTGATGAACAAGAAGTATGGGATGCTGTTGAACTGTTGGATTCCGCTCTCAGATCAACAACTGGTCTCTTGGAGGAACAGCTTACCTGCTCTTGCTTCAAACCTGAAACATCGCCTGTGGCATTCGACCAATCTGTGCAAATCTATGTTGGTCAATGAGGTGTGTGACCATGTTTTCAAAACCTTCAACTGTGTCCGGAAAACTGAACACCTTCACCAATTCCTCTCTTCCAACAGAAACGTCGACCAAAAGGAATCGCCTGGCACATTGTGCGGAATTCGATACCGGTTCTCACCCTCTCGGGGTCCCATCGGTGAGTGAAAGTGGTTGACTGGGCATCTTCAGCTGTTGCAACTTGGCTTGGGCCTTGCTGTTTTGCTACACGGCGCGGCGGTGCTGCATCGATCTCGCGTCACTCAACAGGCAACAGGATGGAGAGTGGGTAGGTAAGACATCCTTTTCCGTTTGTGTTTTTTTCACATTTGCGCGGTGAGGTTTCGCATCACAAAGTAGCAAAGAGGCAAGAGAGGCAGCTGGAGGTACAAAACAGGAGGCGAGACCAAAAAGTGAAACAAAGCAGCCCAGCTTAAGATAAGTTTCATGTATTTCAAGGTTTGAGCCTTTTGAGCTGCCAACCCCATCCAGATTCTTGCACCTCTCACCGTGAAAGTTTGACACACAAGCTCTCGAGGAAAAATCGAAAGCTCTCGTGCTCAAAACACCTAGTCAGTCAAATGTCTCAACGACCCGAATCGAAAAACGAAGAAAAAGCAAGCACCTTCTACATAGGACTGAATGATCATGTATGCACGTGCATGCGACGCAAACGTGCTCTGCAGTAAAAACCAGCAATCATTAATCGACTTGCACGAACTTGCTGTGCGGGTTTCAAACTGCTCATGAAGATCTCACTGCCCCACTGAATGGACTGTCTTATCTCATAGCTGAAAGTGTCGGATCCTAACGCTGACCATGCTTTCAAAGACCCTATGTACTGGGAAAACTGCAAGATCTCTTCCTGACGACTTTTCCAAGCTGAGAAATCTGGTTGTGGCATAGCCGGAAGCCATTTATCCGACTTGCTAAACATGTCGCGCTCCTTGTCCTCACTTCGACTCTCTGCCGGGGCACCTTCCAAGCTTCGCTCCACCCTCGTAGTCGACTCAATGTACTTCGGAGCGGTGGGGTTGGCAAATGCTTTGGAAACATAGGTTGTGGACTCATGGCGCTTCTTTCCCCAAATGAACCTGACGAGATACTTGGCGACTTGGCCTGAATCAGTGCACTTCCACCTTTTCCACCTCCCAAATCCTGACTCAACAGCCTCGCCTCCAACGGAACCTGTCGCATCAGCCATATCTCAGACACACAATCACAGACCAGACAAACGACTTCCTGACACGTCTCGTGTTGCCTTTGCTTTCCTTGTCACCAAACGTTGATCTGGACCTTGCATTTTTTTTGCGCGAGTCGAGGCGCTGTGTGTGCAGGTTGTGCACAAGTCACCTTAAGCTAGTAAAGGAGAGAGATACGAACCAAGCAACAAACCGAGAAGGACCAAACAACACCCAAAAACCCAAAACAAACCCAACCAGAAAAGCAGGCAAGGTTCGTACCTCAAGAAGGCTGAGACAGCCGAAGAAGCGGTGAGACAGAGTGAAACTAGGGGCAATGAATTCAGCCTTGGCACTCAGTACATGACCTTCCTGTCCTTTCATGTGTTCTTTTTTATGTTTCCTCCGCAGGGAGAAAGTAAGACTTGCACCCAGAGCTCGAATTCATGTGGGTGTTGATGCAAAAACAGGCAGGTTACGTGGCCGTATACCCTGTTCTCAAAGGGTTTGGCGAAGCCTTCACAGAATGCAGGTGCGAATGCGGCCAGCATGACGGCCAGTCAAACGACAGCGAGTTGCGCACCATTCACAACCTTCCAGCAGTACGAACACATCGCATGTAAGGGGAGCAATCTCGGCTCAGGGAAAACAACTGTGTCACCAATCGAGGACTGCAAATCTTCGAGAGCTTGAAACAGTGGAGCCATACCGACATTGTACCTGCGTGAGATCCGAGCAGAAGTCTTCATTGGCTGTAAAGCCCTGGTGAACATCACGCTACCGGGCAGCATTCGATGCATATAGGGTATAGAGCTTTTGGCAACTGTGCCGAGCTTTCTCACCTGGGTTACGCTAGGAATAAATCAGAGGCATGGCGATATGCTTATGCCGCCTTCAATGCCTTCGAGGAATATGGCAAGCTAGCCGCCCCAAAGTGGCTCCACTACATCCCGCCGAGAGAGAGCGACTGGATTGCCCCCTGCACTTGACCTCCACAATTTTAACAACCTAAACATCTATCCAAAACAACGACCATCTAGGGTGTGAACAGCCAGGGGGGGGTAGGACGGCTGCCCAAGTAGCTGTCCCCCAGCATTACCAGGCTCAAATCGCAAGTAGGAGCTTTGCAGGTTGCCGCAATGGTTGGTGATACCTGGTCGCAAACGAGCTCACTGGTCAGCAATGAACGCCAGCTAGTGTTGCAACTTCTGCTGACAACCCTTTCTGGAGAAGAACTACAAGTCATCATCGATCTCCAGGAGTTTGATCGTCTAGACGAGTTTGAAACGGCTGTCCTTGAGCAGCTCCCGACCATTGGGGGACACAGCACCTTTGGGAGCGAGCTTGCTTTTGTCCATAAAGACACTGGACAAATTCTGGCGAACCCCATCTGGGACACTCTCAGAGACTGTAACCGCTTCCACCTCGTGGTCCGACAATGTTTCAGTCAAGCTGAACACAAAGGGCAACTGAAGAGGAGTGCAAAAGCAATTCGAGTACCGCCCACTCGTACGGGGCGTGCGCTACCCCATGCTTTCTCGCATACGATCGATGTGAGGCATGTGCAAGTAGAAGCAGGAATACATACCATTGGCGAAGCGGCCTGGCAGCACTGTAACAGGCTGCTAATTGTCCAACTGCCCAGTACCGTAGTCTGCCTGCAAGATGGAGCCTTCCGCCGAAACTATGTACTCCACACCGTCATTGCCCCAGGGTGCAAATACTTTGGGCTCTGGGTATTCGAAGAATGCTACGCTTTAGCACTGATTGGCGATCAAAGCATGACAGTCAATCAGCTAGCGCCACAGGCGCGATTTCGACCCCGAGCCCTCGAAAAATGCAGCACCTTGCAGCAGCTCAATTTTGAAAGAACGGAATACGATCCCACCGATTTGTATCGTTCCATACCCGAGGGCTGCTTTTTCGAGGCAGGGATAGAGTCGTTATTTTTGCCAGCAGATTTCAGCTGGATGGGTCCAGCTGCATGTGAGCATTGCAAAAGGTTGCGGGTAGTTGACATCTCACAAACCGAAATTAGTGAGATTCTGGGTGGCACCTTCGCACATTGCACGCAGCTGCAGCAGCTCCGACTGGCCAAAGCAGTGGGGCGCATTGGGCGAGACGCCCTCCTGAATTGCACTTCCTTGGGTGAGCTGCATACCCCACCCACTTTGCTCTACATCGACAAACGAGCATTTGCTGGCTGTACACAGCTGTACAGGCTCGTCAGATTGGGACGAAAAACGACTTGGAGAGGTACTTACGCAGAGCACGATGCATTCGAGTTGTGCACGCAACTTGCACTCCCAAAATGGATCCGGCTCCTCCCCAAGCCAACCGACGGCCAAGAAGAGTGGGCTGACTTCATGAGAAGCTGTGCAGAAGCGAACTGCGGAGAAGCTTGACCGCTCAGAGTTGCGTCCGTATGCAGGTTCTGAGTAAACTTATACCTACCAACTGACATGCTGACACTGCTGTCTATACTGAGTAGATAGACAGTCATAGAAAGGCAATGAAAGACAGTGAAAGACACTGAGAGTCAAGTATGTCGAAAGGCTCTCGAGGAGCCATGTAGGACTGTTGAGAGGCGCACAGGCATGTGCTGCGGTCTATCAGGCGCCTTGCGATTGCGCTGCCGTGTTCCATCTTGAGAATGCATGAACGCGCAAGCCCCGTGAACTAAGTGAAACAGGGTGTAGGTCTATTCACTGTACAAGTCTGCGCTATCTGTACTCATCCAGGACCACCACTCGGGTGGTGGCCTGGGCACTGCCTAGCCGCTCCGTATTGCAGTACACCCACGAAAAAGCTGGCTCATGTTGCTGTCAGGACCAGCACACGGGTGCAAGTCTAGGCACAGGGCACAGTTAGACTAAGCTACTGTAAGTCCTAGCGCACTGCTTCAGTGAAATCATCCACCCACTTATCTTTGGCGTTTGGCGGCAGGAAGCGAAGCCACTTAGGCTTGTCCAATTGCTCACATTTGTCAAAGGCGTTGACCCGAGCATATGTCCCCCTCCAGGTCGTTCTTTTCCCAGTTTTGTGGAATGTGCGAAGTTGCACGCAGCCAGCAAATGCTCGCCGAGCAATGTACAGCAAGGTTGGTGGGGTGCGTACCTCTCGTAGTGAGGTGCACTTGAAGAATGCTTTGCAAGTTGCAAGAGAGGCTAAGCTGTTGCAGATGCGAGCAGTGTGCAAAGGTGGATCCCAGTATCTCGATGGCCTCCGTTCGGGAAAGGTCAACTATCTGAAGCTGTTGACAGCGTTCGCAGGCTGCAGGCCCAACCCAAGTGAAGTCTGGTGGCAGGGAGAGCGAGACGATTCCTGCCT